AACAAGACCAGCCGCACACTGGCTCCTTTCCGTGGAGGAGGAGGAGAGAAGGTTAGCGTGACTCGGAGTGGCCTGGTCTGTGCTCAGGCTTTTCTTGGCTGTGATCTTAGCAGGGCAGGACGCAGGTCCTTGCCTTCCCCAGTGCTGCTGGGGAGCTCCCAGCCAGGAACCCCAGTCTGTGGATGAAAAGCTTTTGAAAAGCTCGTCTCGGGAACCATGTCCACTTCCTGGGTTCTACCCTGTAGGCTGTAACCCCACCACTTGACTGTCAGCCAGAATGCTGGCGAGACTTCCTCTCGTGGACCTTGGACATGTCAGGACACACCAGTCCCTGGAGCAGGACGTCGTGCTGGGTGAAGTTCTGGGGCAGTGAAAAAGAGGAAGGCCCTCAGCGAGACGGGTTGGCACAGTGGCTGCATCGATGGGCACAGACATCAGAACCATTGTTTTGCGGTGTTTAGCTCTGCTGTGCACAGAGGGTCAGAAACGACCCGGGACGTGACCATTGAGAGAATGAGTGCAAGCTGCCTGGGACTCCCTGTGTGATCTTGCAACACCCGGAGGATCTATTTCAAAACGCGCTTTTTAGAAATACGCCAGCTGGAACTATCACCAACAATCTAGAGATGAGTCGGATGATGTTCATAGAAGCAAGACCAAGAATGCAGCAGAGATCACCTTCTGAGGGCAGCAAAGTGAGATCCCTTATCTCAGAGTGCCTACACAACACAGGTGCTGGCTCCTTAGAAGACGTTGAGGAGCCAGGGCCCCCGGAGTTTGGGGGGCGGGGGTGTGTCTAGAGTGACTCCCCAAAGCTTGTTTTTCTGACCCGGGCGTGGTGACTCTCATCTTCACCTTCCCGTCCCTCATCCCTAGCCTGGCGGCACTACAGTGATGCTGCTCGCCCTCCTCCTGGGTGTGACTTCGCAGTGAGAAACAAACCCCTTGTGAGAGAACAGGAAAAGGGCCAGCCCAGAGGACAGAGGACACTTTATTCCTGGAGGGGTGGATGAGTGAAGGTGTGAAGTGAATGTTGTTTGAGCCCCACAGTGGAAAGTGGCTTTTGCCCTGTGGGGTCGGAATGAGGCGGAGAAGACTAGAGAGGGAGCCAGAGGAGAGGTCGAGGCACAGGTCACAGAGCACAGGTTGGGTGGGGGAAGGAACTAAACCATATGGACTGACTGAGAGGTGGCCTCGCAACTTGAAGCCCTCAACAAAACTGGGAACGCTGGCTCATTCCCGATGCCCATCAGGAAAGCTCCTCGAACCAAGTGCACCGGTTCCTCCCCCGTGTTTGCCGAGACCAAGGACGCGCGGGGTCTGTTTGGGAGCCGTGACTATGGAAAGGAATGGAAGGTTTCCAAGATTGAGTCTCCAAGTTAGGGCACACCTCGGTGTCCTGGGAGTTTGGGAACCAGGTCAGGGTAGAACCGCCTGCTCTGGTGGAACCTGATCAGATTAGCATGAGGTGAGTGGCTAGTCTCACGTGCAGGATGTGTTCAGGGGACTTGGAAACTTCCAGTGTACCTCACAATTTGCAGGGAGTGTCCCAGAATCAGAATACAATGAGACGAAATGACAATGGGTTGTGAACAGCATACCTTGACCATCTGCAGAACCAAAGTCACTGCCATCGAGTCAATGCCTGCTGCTAGCCACCCAAATGCACCGGGTAGACCTGCCCCTCTGGGTTCCCCAGACTAACGCTCTACAAGAGCAGAAAGCCTCGTCTTTCTCCCACGGAGCGGCTAGTGGTTTTGAACCGCGATCTCTTGTATCTAGCAGCCTAACTAGCTCCTCACCCAGTACACCTCCAGGACTCCTCTAGTTAAAGGTAAGCAGGTGTAAGTGGAGCTCACCACCCAGCACTAGGAGTTAGTTCACTTTCTCCTGTTGGAACTTGGGCAGGGATCTGATTTGCTGACTGAAATGTGGGCCTGACCCTTCACGCTCTGTCTCCTGCGCCGTTTGGTTTCACTTCACTCTGGGTCCCAGGTTTCACCAGGCTGCTTTCCTTCCTGCAGATGGGCCAGTTCTACTACTCAGCCAAGGCCTTTGATGTCCTCGAGAGGCTGGACCCCAACCCCGAGTACTGGGAAGGCAAGCGAGGGGCCTGCGTGGGCATCTTCCAGATGATCCTCGCCGGCCGAGAGCCCAAGTAAGTGAGCAGGCACGGAGCCCTGCCCCTGTCCTCCAGCCAGCCCCTGGGGACTCCTGGGATGTTTCCTGGGGTGGCATCTGACCCGCCACAATTGGCATGATGTTGGAGGAGGATGAATAAAGTGATCAGATTTTATAGGAAGGAACTTTAAAAAGTTTGTGTAACAATGCCATTGACTTTCAGTTCCACTTTTGCCAGATGTTTTTAAAGTCTCGGAAATAGTCTTTTCTGCAGTTTTTCCTCCAGCATTGTCTTGTTGTGTAGAATTAGATGGCTCTGAATCTCAGCTCCTGGGCTCGGGACTACATGCCCGTTCCAACAAGACCAGCCGCACACTGGCTCCTTTCCTAACCAGTCTCTTTCCCTCTCTGCTCTCAGCCTGGCAGCTCTTGCTTGTATTTTTAATTTAGGTTTCAGATAATTCAGAGTGGAGTCAATGAGCCGTGAGCACAAAGCCAAAACAGCAAACCCACCGCCAAGTGGATTCTGACTCATAGCGACCCTACAGGACAGAGCAGCACTGCTCCTTGGGGCTCCAGAGACTGTCTCTTTACGAAAGCAAGCAGCCTCGTCCTTGTCCCTCATCATCAGCATGAAGGGTGGATTTTTTTATTTTTCCGCCTTCCCGGAACAAGTGAGACGTGGTTGTGGTCAGGTGCTGTCAGCTTGGTCTGGTTCGTAGTGACGCCACGTAGACCAGCACAGAGCCCTGCCTGATCCCGGTCCACCCTCACGGCCACCTTGTCGGTCCATCGTATTAAAGGGCTGCTTTCCACGGACCGCCTGCTTTACAAAGCGTGGTGTCCTTTCCCAGGGATTGTTCCCTCCTGAAAGCATGTCCGAAGTACGAGACCAGGTCTCACCATCCTCCCTGCCAGCACATTCTGGCTGTGCTTCTTCCGAGACAGATCTGTGGTTCTGGTCGTCCATGGCACTTTCCAAATCCCTTGCCAACACCGTCGTTCAAATGCGGCACTCTGCTGTGGGCTTCCTTATTACCCAGCGCTCGTGTGTGTGAGGTGATCAAACAGACCACGGAAGCTTCAGGAACACTTGACTCTTCAGAGTGACATCTCTGCTCTTGAACACTCTAAAAGGTCATGCGTCGCAGATTTTTGCCCAGTGGAATAAGTCCTTTGATCTCCTGGCTGCTGCTTCCATGAGCACTGATTGTGGATCCAGGTTAGATGGGATGCTTGACAGCTGGGGTCTGTTCTCTGTTTATTCTGCTAGTGCTTACTGGTCCAGTTGGGAGGATGTTGTTTTTTTCTATTTTGATGGGTAATCCATAATAAAGGCTTTGCTTTTTACCAGCAAGTGCTTCAAGTTCTCTCCCTTTCAGGATGTCGGGTAGTGTCACCTGCACATCACGGGCTGTTGGGGGCCTTCCTCCCACCCTGAGGCTGAGTCCTTCTCTAGGTAACCCAGCTTCTCAACTCTGCTCAGCATACACATTGAGCAAGGATGGTGAAAGGATGCCACCTTGACGCACACCTTTCCCAATTTTAAGCCACACAGCATTCCCTTATTCGGGTTAAACAACTGCCTCACAGTCTATGCACAGGTTCCATGTGAACACAGTGAAATGTTCTGGAATCCCCATTCTTAATGTTAGCTATGGTTTTTTTTTATGATCCGCACAGTCGAATATCTTTGCAGAGTCAATAAAATATAAGTAAACCCTTTTCTGGTATTCTCTGCTCTCAGCCAAGATTCCTCTGCTATCAGCAGTGGTATTCCTCGTTCCACATCCCCTTCTGTATCTGGCTTGAATTTCTGGCCACTCTGTTGCATCATCGTTGAATCGCCTACCACAAAATTTTACTTGCATGTGATAATAATTTGTTTGAACACTTCGACTGGTGTTTAGACAATTCCTGGAGCTTTGTTTTGGGCTAATGGTTTCCCTATAGCTTGGACTTCCTTCAGTGTCAGCGCCTCCTGATCATATGCTGCCTCTTGAGATGGCTGAACACCGACCAGTAGACAACTGTCATCAGTATTTTGCCTATAGAATCCTTCTGTATTGTAACTCGAGCTTTAATCCTTTTTCAGTTATCTCGGTCACTCTGTCTTCCTGAGCTGCCCTCTGGAACTTTCTGTCCCGCTCTTCGGCTCGTGTCCCCCAGTCTCTTGACCTTCTCCACATTCAAGAGCAAGTCATGCGCCTATTTTGGTCTTTTCTTGTTTTCTTGTCTCCTTGGTGACTTTTGCCATCTTCCTGTGCGATGTTCTTGATGTCCTCCCACGCGCCTTTGGCTTTCAGTGTTCAATGTGTCAGATCTGTTCTTGGGATGGCCTCCATAGTTATTGAGTACCGTATATACTCGAGTATAAGCGGACCCAAGTATCAGCCGAGGCACCTAATTTTACCACAGAAACTGCATTTAAAATGTGCTGGAAAGCTCGGCTTATACATGAGTATATACAGTATGTAAAATTGACTTTCAGCCCCATTTGTAAAAGTCAACAGAAAGCCACACTCAGTTGTCTGAAAATAGCATCATAGACTGTATTTGTTCCTGCCTCATATCTAGTTCCAGACCTACACAAACGTTAAACAGACTGTGGTTAGGGGCAAGAGGTTGTGTGAGGAGGGACTACAGAAGTGGAGAATCTGGGAGGACCTTCGAGAAAAGCAGGGTTTATTAAGGTAAACGGGAAGCTTTAGCCTGCAGAGCGGAAGCTCAGCACATAGGAAGAACCTCAGCAGGCTGGGTGGACACACTGACTGCAGCCACAGCTCACACTTAGCAACAGTTGTGAGGATGGTGCGGGACTGAGCAGTTTTCTGGTGTACGTGGGTCCCTGTGAGTCAGAGCTGACTTGATGGCGTGTAAGAACAGCAGCAACAACTTAAAACACACGTTTTATTTTTTATTTTTTAAACACACGTTTTAATTGAATTAATAGACCAATTTGGGTCATCGGCCAAGCTTAGTCCTTAAGGCGCCTCTATTCCATATTTCTTAAAACGGATCCTTTGCCTGGAAGGAGTCCTACGTGCCTTTGGCTTGGTTATATTTTATGAGTACTGATGGTGACCCCCAGTATATGAGTTCCTTTACCAAACAAGAAGTCTGACATGTCTCAGATGGGTTAAGTGATGGATTAATTTTAGAGCTAGAATTTGATCCCAGCTCTTTTAACTTCCACGCAGCCCCCTCTGTCCTCTGCTATGCAGAATGAGCACAAAATGGGGTCTCCCAGTTACACAGGGAAGGTCAGGCTGGCTAGGGCTATTTCCAGAGGCAGCGCCCTGAGCCAGCAACACGGGCTAGTGAAAGGCAGCCACCCCCACCCCCACCCAGGTGTCCCCGTCACGAGTTTCCGAGCACCCAGTACAAAGGGCACACTAGACCTGTGTGAAGAGCAGCTGAGCGATTGTCTCCTTTGTTAAGTGTATTCACGAAGACCCTCTGCTCCCTGCGCAGAGAGACCCTCCGGGAGGTGCTACACTTGCTGAGGAGCACGGGGAACACGCAGGTGGAGTATATCATCCGCATCATGAAGAAGTGGGCCAAAGAGAACCGCGTGCCCATTTGAGGCCACCGGCCGGCCAGGCACCAGGCTCACAGGGCTACAGCGTTGGGAAGCACTTGGACGGTGAGAGGTGGGGCATGGCTTTCCAGAGCGAGCAGTGTGTTCAGGCCGGCGGCCCGCTGCACCACCAGCCCTGGTGGCCCGACCAGCAATAGGACCTTGGCCTTCTAGGTGCCTGCCTTCCATACGCGCTCCTAGCGTGGGACGTCCGTGCTGCGAGAACAGCACCTCCTAGCTGCAATAACAAATGTCCCAAGCCTCCAGTCACCCCATCGTCTCATTTTCCGCCATCTCTGGGTGTTGTCCTGGCTCTTGGGGGGATCCCACCAAGGGTTTTGTAAGGCACCTCTGAAGCCCAGGGAACCGGGGAACAGAGGCTGCCCGCAGCTCTCTCTGGTTGGGCAGCCTATGTACAGGAGGTAAGTCCCGTATCAGTGCTCGGCCATCGACAGATACTGAGTTTCCAGGACTCCTCTCAGCGAGGGAGCTCTGGTGGTAATGACACTACCTGACACGGTACAGAGGGCGAGGGCTGCAGTCCTTGCAGGGGAAGTCTATGAAAACCAGCTGTGCCACCTGGGAGCCACAGGCATTCAGGAACAAGCAGACACAGCTCCTTCGACCCTGCTCCCTGTGTGGTAGGTAACAAAACAGATGCATCTTGCTGAACCAACTTGAGTTCAGGGAGCCGGGCGACAGTGTTGGGGCCCGTTGGTGTGGTGGCAAGGCATGGACACCCTGGTTCAGTGTCTCAGCTCTCACAGCACAAACTTTCGCTAACCCAGAGCATTCTGAGCTCGGCAGTTATATGCAGAAGCAGAGCCCCAGGCCCCTATGCAGCAGGCCACTTGCCTTCTATTGACTTGTGGTTATTAGTTCAAGGGACTCAGATGGGACAGGTCTCCAGCAGGGCGAGCCACCTCTCCCTAGCCAAGAAGGACAGTGGGAGAGATGCAGCGTGCTGGTCATTCCTAGTGCACTGTCCCCCGCCCCCACTGTAGACAGAGTAGCTGTGTGGAACGGAGACAGGACAGGACAGGGCAAGGGTGGAAAAAACTAGGGAGAGAAGATCAAGGGTCTAGAGATGGGCCTGGGTCTGTCGACAGCAGCAGGGGGCCTGGCACCTCCACTCGGGAGACAGCCAGCTTCCTGCCTCTTCAGTCGGACCCCACCTGCTCAGCCCCATCAACATATCCTGCTATCTGAAGTCTAGAGAGCATTGCTACATGACAGTCCTGTGCCAGCGCCCTGTGTGCCCATCGGCTGTGCCCACAATCGTCTCGGCATTGAGGTGTCAGGTGGGTCAGACAGCGGGACCTGCTGAATCATTCTTGCGACAAAGGCCATGCTGGGGAAGACGGAGGTGGACCCCGGTGGGGAGGTGCGTCCCCCAGTGACTTCTAGCCCTTTTAGATGTCCCCTGCAGAGCCAGCAGCTCCAGTACATGGGGGCTTCCGTCCATTGGGCTCTGGTTGGACTGAACCTCATCTCTTGCATACAAATGGATATTCCAAACACCGCAACTCCAAGAATTGTGAACCCTTGTAACAAGCCTTTTTCAGCCTACTGCATGGAGCCCAACCCACCAGGACCCACATAAGGGGAGGTAGCACCATCTTGTGATTGAGCCTGGCTGCTTCTGAAGTGTCCACCCAGGGCCTCGCTCCTGCTGCTGGTCTTGCCTGTGCTGACAGGAGGGAGAAACTGAGGACGATCCTGGTTTAGGGTGCCGTGGACCGTGCAGTTCAGAGCATCAGTGTGTCATGGCTAGACTGCAGTACACACGACTTGCAGGTGGGAATAAAAATGCCTTTTACAGTTACTTTTGTATTTCAGAAGGATGCATTCCCCTGTAATGTCTTCAAATTAAAGTTTTTTTACTTGGCCCTTGTTGTTGTTATTGTCCGGTGCATTGGTGGGAGCGAGCCCTGGTACATCAGGCCTCTGCAGACCCTGCTCACTGAGAGACAGAGACCGGTCTCCTACCGAGCTCCTGTCCAGTGTGTGCCAGGCACATGCCAGGGTGGTGCATCCCAGCCCTGGTCCAGCAGGAACATCCAACAGTGCCTGGGATGGAGTCACTGGAACGACAAGTCTGGAGAAAAGACGGAAGCCATGTTTATTTATGTCCTTGGGAAGGGGGCACCTCAGCAGAGTGGCTTCAGAAAGGGGGCAGTGATTGGGACCAAACGCAGCAAACACAGGTGTGCAAGTGGGGGAAACTCCACGCCACACCCGCTGCCATCGAGTGGACTGTGACTAGTAGGGACAGAGACGTTCTCCCTCAGGATTCTGAGGGTGTCAACCTTTCCAGGAATAGACAGCTTCATCTTGCTCCTTTGGAGCTTGTTAGTGGGTTCGAGTTGTTGACCTGGAGCTTATACAACTAATTACGCCTCCAGGGCTCCCAGAAAAGTCCGTGCAAAAATCTGGAGTCCTAAAAGTAAATGCCTGTCAGGTGGGACGAGGCTCTGGCACCCCAACATGCCTCTCCATCAAAACAGCTGGTCCAGAGTATCCAACACACAAATAACCAGCCTCGGGTTAAACTAGGAAATGAGACAAGGAAAATGAACAAGGAAGAACATACAACTTTTCTCTAGTTCCCAAATGCTTCCAACCCCCTTCCCTCCCCACTGTCATGATCCCAAGTCTACCTTGCAAATCTGGCTAGACCAGAGGATGTACACTGGTACAGATAGGAACTGGAAACACGGAATCCAGGGCAGATGATCCCTTCAGGACCAGTGGTGAGAATGGTGATACCGGGAGGGTGGGGTGGAAAGGGGGAACCCATTATGAGGATCTACATATAACCTCCTCCCTGGGGGACAGACAACAGAAAAGTGGGTGAAAGGAGACGTCGAACAGTGTAAGACAAGACAAAATAATAATTTATAAGTTATCAAGGGTTCATGAGGGGAGTGATGAAGGATGGGGAAAATGAGCTGATGCCAGGGGCTTAAGTGGAGAGCAAATGTTTTGAGAACGATGAGGGCAATAAAAGTACAAATGTGCTTTACACAATTGATGTATGTATGGATTGTGATAAGAGTTGTATGATCCCCTAATAAAACGATTTTTAAAAGAAACTGGCTGACCAAGAACCTCATTACAAAATGGACAACATGAATGAATGTTGTAACTGAACATTGTACTATGATAGAAGGCAGTATTTGTACATTGCTATCTCATGGATAAGAAGCCTTGAGAGGCAGTTGTGGTATAGCTCCTTGGATGGCACACTGGATTAGCATTTTCCACAACTAAAAAAAAGGTGAGTAGTTCAAATCTACCTAGTGATGTCTCAGAAGATAGCCCTTGGCCATTTGCTTCTGAACTGTTCCAGCCTTGAAACTGACACACAGTCAAAATCTCCTCAATGGCAGGGAACAACCTCCACCACAAATCAAGTTGTTGCTCTACAAGTATATATTACAATGCCCAGTTAAAATGCAAAATAGGAAAACATACATCTAATCTCATTATTGCCCATGATTTGAATTTTAAGTTTCCAAAGAAATTGAGGACTGTCCAGAATGATTCCACTAGAATAAAAATAGGAGCTTTCTAAATGATTGGAAGTCACAGCCACAAAGCTTCACTCTTAGAGGATCTTTTTAAAGGTTTCAAGTGAGAGCATGACACTGTGTTAGGTTATGCTCAGACACACACCTCATGTCAGAATAGGAAGATGGGCGCGACATCTCGCTCCTATCACTACTATGACCCCAATTGTATCTTACAAGTTTGGCTGGACCAGCGCATGTGCACAGGTAACGATAAGAGGTGGAAACACAGGGAATCAAGGACAGATAAACCCCTCAGGGCCAATATTGAGAGTAGCCATACCAGGAGAAGAGGGGATGGTGGGGAGAGAAAGGAGCAGCTGATCACAATGATCTACATATAACCCCCTCCCAGGGGGATGGAGGGGTCGCGGATAAATGAGAAACTGATACCAAGGGCTCAAGTAGAAACAAAAGGTTTTGAAAATGATGGCTATGAATTGTGATGAGTTGTACACGCCCCCAATAAAATGATTAACAACGAAAAAAGAAGCGAGCAGACCCCTTTTCAAGGGCCCGTGGAGCGTGCAGGAGAACCCTAAATTAGACCACGGAGAAAGCCACGGGAACCCTGATGTTCACGCTTACTTCGCACCGGCTGCTTTTCAAAACACTAAGACATCCACTCACCCCCACAACCACCTTATAAAGTGTGTGCATTGCGAGGCCTATGAGAAGCTAAAGCATAGAATGCTGGTGTCACACACCCCAAGGTGATAAGCCAAGGAGCAGCACAACTGGGGTTGGGTTGGAGCCCGCGGCGGCGGCGGGTCATTACCCATCAGGCAAGAGATTCTTCCGGAACGTCCACAAAGAAAAAGAACAGTGCCGGCGCTTTGTAATCCCGGTGCTAATGAACCAGAAGTTAATAAGCCAATCTCGGGGTTACTAATGCCAGACAACTCCTCCTTGCCTTCCGGGCGCCATACATTTGCGTTCACTTCTCTACCCACTGCCATGGAGTGGATGCTAACTCACAGCGACCCCACATGTGAGGGTAGAGCTGCCCCCGTGGGTTTCCGTGATCGTAACTCTGTATGGAGTTGAAAGCCTTCATCTTTCTCCGAGGAGCAGCTGGTGGTTCCAAACTGCTGACCTTTTGGATTTTAGTTATACAGCCCAGTGCGTAACCTGTAACTAGCCTTTTTTTTTTTTTTCAACAGCATTAGCAAATCTTTTCTAATGCAAGTATCCTGAGCACTCAAGGCACCTGGTGGGGCTTACCAACCTCTACTTCCTCATCACACCTTCACAAGTTGTCCATACAGCTTTAAAATTATTGACAAGGGTTTGCGCCTTTCCCTACACTAAACCAAAAACCAAACCCATCGCCATGGAATCAACTCTGATTCATAGACCTTATAGGACAGAGTAGAACTACCCCTGTGGGTTTCCAAGTCTATAAATCTTTAAGGGAGTAGAAAGCCTCATCTTTTCCCCAATTTGCACTAAAGTCACACTAAATCAGACTGTACGCACCTGTTCTGACTTAGCAACACTCACCTAGGCTCACTTGGGCAGCGCATATACTAAAATTAGCTACACTTACCTACTTGAGAACACACTTTAGAGTGGATCTCATTCATGACCTGGGAGTTGCCTATAATAAAACCTGAGAAAGTAAGACTCCTGCCACCTAGAAAATGTAAAGAAAATAAAACCAACTAACCAAGCAACCAACCGAGTCAGAAAAACAAAAGTCCTCTCCTGGGGAGAAGACAATCCCAACTGTACCCAAACTGGATGCGAGTTCAAACTCAGGGCAAATTATGGCCTTGGCAGCTTAGATTAAAAAGAGAAATTTTAAATGAATGACTAAGCATATTATCCAGAAGTTATATAACTACAAGAAAGAAAGAAATATTCTAAAATTGATTGTGGTGATGACTGTACAACTCAATATGATTGAACTATTGAACTGTATGATAGGTGATTTTATGCCAATTAACAAAAAGTTATAAAAGTACATTGAAACTAATCTCAGCACTTCACACAGAAAAACAATTATGGAGACAACGAATTGAAAATTGGAAAAATTATGGTACCAATAAAAAATTCAAATAGCTAATTTTTAAAAAATCATTTTACTGGGGGTCTATTATGAAATAGCTAACTCTCTGTAGGAAAAAGAATGTAAGGCAGTAAAATCGGTGAACCTTTAACCAATCAGGAGGGCGGAAGGAACACCAGCCCAGAAAGTGTAACAGCTCGGAGTAAACCCACAGACAGGGGGATGCTGGGTTACATGGGAAATGCGTTTCTAATTGACAGACTCAGGAGCTGCGATCTTCCGATTCCCACCCCGCCAGCAGTGAGTGACTGAAAGTAATGTTTTTCATACCTCAGCAGCATAGGGCATCTATTTTCAACCTGTTCCAATTTGATAGAACAGTAGGACCGTCTCACTATCTCCCCCATAGTGTTTTTCACATATCTATGGTGCTGTTCTTGTGTGGGTTCAGTCTTTCCTAGAATTGACATCGTGTTTTGCTTGAGTCACAAAAGGATTTGGGAGCTTTTTCCTATATCCTCCCTTAGCTATGTCCAGCCATTTAGAATAATACAGCCTATACAGACTATAACTTTTCCCTTTAGGATCTGATTGAGGTAGTTAGTTTATTGTGCCAACCTGGCCGATAAATACATGTGGGGTTAATTGAAGGGCAGAGGGATAAATGGCTCAGTGAGCCTCACCTTTCTATTTCTAGGGTTCCTTGCTCTCTGATGGTCGGATTAGGGTGCAGCTGCCTTAGCCAGTTCCCTGCTTTAGCTGGCAAGGCTCACGTCCTGCAAGACATCCCCAAGGAGAAGCCACATGGACCTACCCCGATGCAGCATGTTTGCCCTACATTGTAGCACCATGAAAATTAGTCACCCTTCAGTCTGTTTTTCCTACAATCTAGTTTTTGAAAAAGGACCCTGGAAGAAGGGCAGCCAGAATGCTCCTTGAAGCAAAGTAAGATTCGGTTCTGTCTCCCGTTATCAGGAGACCTGTGCCCGGAAAGGAACAGGAGTGGAAGGAAGTGGAGGCTCAGGGAAAAGGAGCAGGGTCCTCAACAAGATGGATTGACATAATGGCTGTAACACAATGGACTCACACAACAATGGTGAGACTGGCCCGAGACTGGGCAGTGCTTTGTCCCGTTGTACGTTGGGTCATTATGAGTAGGAACTGACTCAACAGGACTGAACATTAGAGACAACGCCTCATCTGGTGAAAACACCTCCATGTTTTCCCAATGCACTTGTAATCTTTCCAAATTTCAAACGCCTTAATATGACTCACAGGGTCCTTTAACACTATCTTTTGCTTGTT